CAATTTGACAATAAATTTCATATTAAAAATAAAATAAAAATAAAATAAAACAATTAAATTAAATTAAAAATTTTTAAAAAAGACAAGACAGAGAGGGATGTGTGGAGCCTTGTGAGAGGTATGCCATGGGCTGGGCCCTGAATCCTCTCCATGTGGCCTTGGATGCACTTTTGGGAGTGTCCCAAAAGAAGAAGATGGCTGAAAGCTGCATCCTTGGAAGACACAGCATCACTTGTGCTATCCTCCAGGTTAGTCAGTCACAGGCCCACCGGGGTTCCAGGGAAGGAGGACTTAGATCCAGAGTCATGAGTGGATGTGGTAACACATGCAGCTGTGGGACCATCTAGGAAGGCAGCTATAAACTCTACCCTTTCTAGCCCTTTAAAAGTCAGATGACAGGGTGTGCTTGTTGAGATGTGTTTCATTCAAGTGTGGACAAAATTATGCTGGTTATAAATGAGACCCTTCCTCTGAAGCTTTCATGACCCCTCCTCCTCAAATCCCCTCACATCCACCTATGTGCATGCTCACCCACCATCCTTTCTGTTTGACACAGTCATTTTTCTTTGTGGCCCTTAGTCTGAAACACCTGGTATTCTCTTTTCTCAGTAGCTGTAGAAAGAACCCTTGGAAATTCAACAACAGGAAAGGAAAGAATCCCAGGACACATCCCAAACAGTGCTGTCTCACACCCACGTCACAACATCATTATGGTCTTAAACCACTAGAGTTTCAAATATTAATGGTTCTCTGTATTTTCTACATTCCTCCTCAATTTCCACTTCAGTCTTTTTTTTTTTTTTCTTAGCCCCTCCCGTGTATCCAGTGGTTGAAAGTGGTGCAGAGCATAAGAAAGTCAGGAAGTGGCCCTGAAAGTGGTGCAGAGCATAAGAAAGTCAGGAAGAGCTTTCGTTAGGCTCACCTGTCATTAGGAAGCTAGAATACAGTTTAAGTGTTGTGTGCTGGAAGTCAGGGCCTGACACCTGGCTGCTCCCTGGGCGGGCCAGCTCCATACTGCTGTGCTCCTCACCACTCCTCAGGTGGCCATATTGGCTGCAGGGGGTGTCTGGCTCTGCTCTGTAGGACCTGCAGGACCACAACGACGAGCTGCAAACTGCACTGGAAGGCCTGCGGGCACAGCTGCCTCCGAGTTGGCGTGGCCGTCCCCATGCACAGCCAGAGGAACGGCTGCTCTCTGGACATGGCCCAACAGGTAGGAGCCCAGTCCTGGGAGGTAAGGGATTATGTGCTCCTGCTGTGGGAGAGCAGGGGCTGGTGGCAATGGATATCTCTCTGCCCCCACTGCATGAGCTGCCCCCTGATCCAGGGGCACTCTATAGGAGGGGGGGCCAGCTCCACAGCATGTCAGGCTTCCAGAGGGTCATGAGCCCCTTTGGACCAGCACATTTGGGAGAATGGCCTATAACCCAAGGCCAGGGACAATATCCAGAGCCTCAAGGGAAGAAGAGGGTGAAGGTTTTACCATTTAGGTAGAGATGGTGAAGTTATGATGACCTTGTAGTGACCTCAGGACAGGCATGACCTAGTAAGCCCCTTGGGTCGTGGGGAGGATCCATAGAGATGTCCCAGGGTGATCGTTCAGCATGGTTGGACACAGTCATTTAGGGAAGGGAAGGGAGGAGAGGAGAGGCTGGGGGTCAAACAGAGCATGAGGTCTGGTCTTAGGTCTGTAACAGCTCTCAGGGAAAGTGCTAGATTGTGTGAAATGCATCAGGGACTTCCGATATTCACAGAGGCCTCACATGGACCATGGCAGAATAGGGCTGATGTTTACTGCCTGGAATGTGTGGAAAGGGTCAAGGTGGGGTGGGGCCTTGGTACCTTGGTACCCATGCACAGAGCTGATGCTGAAGGTGTCACTTGAAAAAGATCAAGTCTTCCTGCTCCCCAACTCTTCAGCCTGTGAGGTTTGGGACAAGCTCCAAACACCAGGAGACCTCAGTGCCCTGTGTTTAACTTGCTGCCTCCTACTAGAGACCAGAATGGGTGGGGTGGGGGTTCAGATGCCCCAGCTGTCCCTGAGGTTTCCGTGGTTCCTCTGGAGGACAGGGTGGGTTTGGCTGGTTGCCGCCTTTCCTTACAGTTGTGTGCAGTCGGCAACATGCAAGTTCACATGGTGCCCATGGCTCCATGCATGTTGCTGCTGGTGGGAGTACACAAGGGGACCGCCAGGACTTCCCTACCTCTGGCCACTTGGCTGCCTCCACTGACTGCGTATCAAGGCAGAGTCAGCCCCTCAGAGAGCATCTTGTTCTCATCTGCAATCCTGAGAGCACTCAGAGCTACCATATTGTCCTAAAGCTGTTTACTTCATAAAACAGAAAAAAAAGTTTACCTAAGAGAGCCAACATGGGACCCTCCAAGGGGAACTGAGTGGGGCTTTCTGTGCATGTGGGTCCAGCTTCCTCGCCCCTTTAGGCCTTCTTTAGTGGAGTCTAATGGCTCCAAGTCCATGACTTGTAGTCTACAGCCCTCAGCTGGGAGGTGTTGGGGTATGGCCAGCACACTGGACATTATCACATCCTCAGGTAAGTGTTACATGTGGCTAGGTGGGCAGCCTGACCACAAGGAGGAACTTGTCCCTGGAAAGGAGCCCGGGATACACAGAGCATGGAACCTTTGTCAAGAGCCACCAACTTGTAACCCAGGGAGCAGCAGAGCTAGTGTCCTGTACTTTGGGTGGCCCTTGTCCAGAAGACCTTGGGTTGTGGCACTGAAAGGCAGCCTCTGGCTTTATGTCATCACTGATCTGCCCACCAAAGCCCTTTCTCTTTCCCTTTGCCCCCCCCCCCCCCCCCCCCCCCCCGCATCTGATCACAGTTTCCATCAGTCCCTTCAAAGGAGGGGGGGGGTCTGTCTGCTGCCACAGGGGAGTCTTGGGGGAAGGGCTGTGTGGATCACGGTGGCTGTCCCTTTAGTGCTTCCAGCTGGAGCCACTCCAGCCTGGTGTTCCTTCACCCAGGTCTGCTCAGCCAAAACCATGTGGCAGCTCTAGCTGTCAAGGGAGAGGCTGCTTTCTTTCCTAAGATGCTTGTCCTGACTTCTCTCAACCACATGGTTCTCAGTCTGTCACTTGTTTTCATGGAAAATAGTTAAGGGGTGTGTCATTTCCCTTCACTTTCCCAGCCCCAGACCCAACACAGATGAAACCTGAGCAGTAGCCAAAACCCACATTCTGAGTCAACTCTTTGGTGTGCCTCGCAACACACACAGCATTGGGAATGCCTGGTGCCCCAGGGGGTGCTGGTGGTGCTTGTGGTTCTATGGGTGCCTCACAAAATGAGCTGCAAGGACATCTGACATTGTTGGTCTGTGAGAAAAGTCATCTGGAACAAGCAGTCGCTTATGTCCTCTTTCCTGTAATCTGTCAGAAGCTTTGCTCCATGAGTATTTACCATGCCTAATGTATTTGTTGAAACTCCATATTATTATCATATAAAAGTAAGTAACATAGAGTCTCCAAGAAAACGGAGGAGCTAAGATAAAAAGATTGAAGAAATAGGCTCATAATGCCTCATCATAAAGCATTGACTGCTCCAGAAGTTAGTCTGTGACTTGTCTGTCTTCCCAGTTCCTCAGGGTACCTGGCATCATCCGGGAACAGAATTCAGGGGGTAGTAAAAGTACCATGTATGCCATCTTTTAGGGAATCCAAGGGCCTGATGGTTCGTGCAGGGAGCCTCCTGGTTATATCTTTGAGGAACGAGTGTTAGGTCAAAGAGACCTGATTTCTGAAGAGCTCCTACTTTGAGAGCTCAAGATAACATTGCTTGTGGAAACCTTTGAGGGTCAGCTGTCTCCACCAGCACTGCGTTCCTTTTGCAGAAGGTGCCCATGGAAGGTTGTGCTTGGTGGGGGGCATGGTGGAGGAAGGCTGGGCTGAATACTCAGTGCTGTCCAGATGTCAGATTGGAAGGCTAGGAATAGACCCATGGCATCCTTGGCAGGTCATAAATGGAAATGTCTTCTCGTTTGCAGGCATCACTTCATTTGTGGGTGATTGCATTCCAGTGAGTTTAGAAACCGAGATAATGATGGAGCAGGTGAAGGAACACTACCAAGACCTCAAGATCCAGCTGGAGACCAAGGTCAGGGGGAGTGAGGATGGCCACAGGAACACAGAGAGGCTTCCTGCTGCATGCTAGAAAGCTTCGCTTGGCAGTGCACGTTTCCGCATGCACACGTGTGCCCTAGACTCTGGGCCCCATAGTAAGCCTGCTATGGGGGACAAAAGATTATGGGGAAACGTTTTAAAATAAAATGTACATTCTGCCTCACACCCTCTTTGGAAGTAGGCAAGAGATAAGGAAAGACCAATTAAGGGAGGGAATGAGGTTATGTGTACCCGAATTCACAAGGGTTGCACAAGGCCAGACCTCCCTGCTCACTCTGCTGAAGGGGAAGAACACCTCCTGGCTGTATTCTAAGCAGAAACAACCCTGGGATTGCCCCTTGTGGGGTACTCTGTGACCTTGTGGCCAGGACCCTGGCTGAGTCTGTCTTCTTAGATAAACTTCTCTCCTGCTCCGTTAGCAGATTGTAGTGGGTTTTGTTAAGGGACAGGATCCATGACTTGTTTTCATGATTTGTTGTCAGAGTTAAGAGTAGCAGCAAGGTGGGATTACATGTCTTGCGCTTGTGCCCTGGGCTCCCTGGATGCATTTGCTGGAAACTCCTGCCTCAAGGATGTTCAGAGTCACCTGCTGGTCTCATGAAGGTTCCCCAGTTCTCTCAGTTGTTTCACTCTCTGCCCTCCTTGGAGGCCTGACCAAGCACCTGGTCTGGTATGGTCCCAGCCTCTGTTCCCCACCTGCTGGACCTGCCCCCTAGGGCCCTTGTGAAGGTTATGCAAGACAACAGAAGCCCACAGCCACACTGCACCCTGGGGGAGGCTTGACTGTCGTTAGCATAGCTGTTACCCTCACAAGCCTGTGCACTTTGTCGGGTCTCGGCCACCAGTTCTTTGGATGTTGTGCCTGGAAGTCCGTTATTTCTGTTTCACATTGTAAGGTAAGTCATTCTCAGGACCTCTTTATCTTTGCTGCTCACGTTTCTCTTCTCAGGTAAATTCCTATGAAAGGGAAATGGAGGTGATGAGAAGGGACTTTGCAAAGGAGAGGGAGGAAATGCAGCAGACCTTCAGGCTTGAGGTCCGTGTGTTGGAGTGCAGGAGGGCCGACCTGGAGGTGCTGCTCATGAAGTCTCAGGAGCTCATCCGAGGCCTGCAGGACCAGCTCCAGCAGGCTTCCCACAGCCCCTTGACGGAGAGGGCAGTGTTGGGACAGTGCTGTGCACAGGCGCTATCTGGCCCAGCCCAGCGGCTGGCCCAGGAACAGGACCCACTGAAGCAGGAGCAGCGCCAGAGGCATCGGAAGGAGCTTCAGCGAGTCAGGTTGGGTGCCGTGTCCTTTCAGGATCTCACATCTAGGGTTTCTTGCCAAGAACCCAAATTTGAAATTGCATTAGGCAAACTGCTCAGAATCACAGTGCCTGCTAACGGGGTGCTTTTTCTCAGGGCAGGTGGGTGAGCATTGAAAGAATAGGATCATAAGGATTGTTCCTTTGCATTAAAAATGTGTTAACTAGAGTAGAAGAGTTAAAATTCCTTGTAGAATTCTGCCTTAGACTCGCTGATAGCAAAGGTTCTTAAATGTTCTTCATTTAATATCTCATTCTAATTTTCCAGGATGTTGTATTATATAACACATGAGGAGATGGATAAAAGTTATAAAAGCCCTAAAACCATGGGAAAGACGAGTAATTTGGGTTAGTGAGGTTCTTGAAAAGGTCAAAATATATGAGCAAAGAGGAGGAAAGTTTTATTTGGAAAACGAATATGGCATTTTGTATCCAACGGTATCATAGTTATGTGAAAAATACCCATATGTCCATATGGGTCTGACTTAATAGAGTGAATGACTAGTTATTTCAGCCATGGTGCTGGTTAGTCAGCCCCTCTCTGACTTGTGGGGAGTCTTGGACCCGCCCAGCTCAGGCGGGGATGACCACGCCCATACGTTGACCCAGGGCTGATCTGACTACTCACAGTGGAGGGGCCCACCGTACTTCCGCTCCTCATGGAGAGGCTGTGTAGGGCTCAGTGGAGTTCCAGTGGTGGAGCTGAGTACACATGGCATCAGTCACCCCCTGATTGCAGGATGTTTGCCACCTGTATATGGAAACGTGCCCTCCAGTCTGGGTGGGGTACACTTTCCCCTTCTTTGGCTTGATGATTGGGGATAGCTCAAATACATGAGATGTGCTGTGAAAGACCAGACTGCCCTCCAAGTCTGTGGGTGTTCCCTCCTCTTTGCACTCCAGATGACACAGTGGAGGGGCCCCAGGCCCTTAAAGCCTGACAGGAACTGTCCCTCTCCTAGAGGACCATAAAGGTCATTTTTAAGCCATGTACTTCTTCTGAGCTTTAAGTTATTTTCTCTTAAGCCCCAGAGCTGTGTGATAAGGGTCTTGACCCAAGTCCTTCTAGACCCCACCAGCAACAGGGGGGGGTCGGTGCAGGGTAGCCCCTCCCACCATCCTGCGCTGTCCATCTGGAGGACCTTCTTGCTCATGTCCCCTCGTCAGGCTGGAGCTGGAGCCACATACAACCATATGTCCTGTCCTCAGGCCAGCACTGGCCAGGAGCAGAGAACACGCCCTTAGTGCCCCCACCTCAGCTGGGACCCCATTCTCCTGGGGCTGTCCTGGTTCCAGCAACTTACCAAATCTTCAAGGGTAGTTTTGACTGTGGGCAAGATTCACACGGCTCACTAAAGCTTTAGACCACTAAAGTTCTATCCTTAGAACTTCCTGTGATAGGGGACACATCCTGTGTCTGCTCTGTCCATGATGGCAGCTATGAGCCACATGTGGTTACTGAGTCCTGGACATGTGGCCTGCATGACTCAGGTACTGAATTTTATCCTATTTAATTATAATCAACTTACACTAAAAGTCATCTGTGTGAGTGGCTTCATGTCAGCTTCTATATGTAGAACCCAACCCCACTGAAGAGATCCTCCAACAGACCCTCTAAGGAGGGTCCCAGGGCATGGATGGAGCTCTGGGGTGCATGGGAGATGAAGGGACAGAACAGGTCAGGCAAAGAGGAGGTTTGCAGTCAGGACAAGAAGAGCCTTTGAGGAGGCCTTTCCAACCCTGGGGGGAAGGGCTGGGCCTGGAGCTACACCCACAGTGCCTGTGATGTGCTCTGTTTCTGTAGGAAAGAGGCAGAAGTTGAGTTGAACCACAAGCTCTCAAGGATGGAAGCCTTACAGCAGACTGCCCACTGTAAGGACTTAGCGCTGCAGCCTCAGCAGGAGAAGGAAGAGCAGAAACGCCTGCTGCAAGTCCATGAGGTGATAGAGCAGCATGATCTGGAGAAGGAGTGGAGGGAGGGCAAAGGGAAGGAGATCCTCCCACTCTGTGGAAGGCAGCAGCTAAAGCTTCAGGAGCTGACAGGTGAGGAGCAGATGCAACCGCGCAGGTCCTCTGCCCTGGAGAAGGAAAGACTGGAGCTTGCCTGTAGGAAGCAAATGGGAAAGCTTATGCAGGAAGAAGACATGCTGCAGGCCTGCTTGAAGGATGGGCCAGCAGTGGCAGGTGATGACCAAGAAGGTATGGGTGGCCCCATGCCCCTCTGTGCAGGCAGGAGGGAGCAGTCACTGGTGTGGCAGGAACCTGGTGCTGGGCATGGCCATGGGCAAGCCAGGCACAGGGATGTGCCAGGCCAGTACTTGTGCCATATGGACCCCAGGCAGAGCCCAGCCCTAGACCCTGCCTTGGCCTGCAGAGGGTCCTTGGAGAACCTTGGCCTCAGAGAGGATTGTCAGGGTGTACTTGACCCTGAGGAGGTAGCTTCTGCCCCCCCAGGGAGGTGGTTACAGGTGCATCAACGTGGGGTGGACAAGAAAGCAGTCCTAGAGGAGCTGGTACCTCCTGCCATTGGCCCATCTGGTCTGAATCAGCCTGAAGCCCAGGAGCTGCTCTGGAAAACAGAGGGAGATGCCTCACCAGCTCAGCCCCCAACATCAGGCAGAGGAGAGACTGAGAGGCAGCCAGCCATTCTTGAGCGAGCTGGGAACCTGAGTGGGGGGCTGGCCCCCATGGGGAGCCAAGGGCAGGCCTTGGAGGAACAGGCCTGGTGTGGGAACAGCACCCTGGAGCAAGGGCTGCAGCACAGCAGTGACAAGGCCAAGGAGGGCACCTCGTTCTCCCACCTGAACCTTGCTGACCCCCAGGGAGCCAGGCAGGAACAGCTTGAGGTCCTGCGGGAGGAAGAGGCCAACATGGCTCTGGAGCAAGAGAAGGATGGCATGAAAACCAAACTGCTACAGCTGGAGTATGTCGTTTGGGCTCTTGAGAAAGAAGCAGATGCAAGAGAGAACAACAGGTTTGGTTTCTAAACATTCTTAGAATGCCTAGCTACACCTTCTAACCTTTACCACTGCCCCCCCCCCCCCCACATGGGTTTCATGACAGCTGCTGATGGGGGTTATGTAACTCTTGTGCCTGTGCAGCGGTCATAAGCCCATCCCTGACTCTGGGCATCCCACAGGTCACCAGATAACCAACGAGTGGGCGGGGGCAGAGCTGGGTCATTCTGGGCAGCTAAGCTGACTGGTGTCCCCTGGTCTTCCTTAGGAAGTTCTTGCTGATCTCGCAAAGACAAAGACAGACTGTGTTTAGAGCCCCACTTCAATTCTGGGTCACCTGAGCCCTCTTCTTGCTGACTTTGAGCAGGACCTACTACTTTGCCCCACCAGCACATGTGCCAGGCACTGTCCTTGAACTGCAAGTTCCTGTGCTTTCTAAGTAGAGCAACAGAGGAGGCCAGCAGCCATCCAGGCAGCCCTGGCACCTTCTGGGAGGCTGGGGTGGGGCGTGAGTGCTCAGGGGGTTTCAAGATGCTGCTGCAGTTGATTCCTCTCCAGGGGAAGCCTCAAGGTGGGATGGTGTCCTGGAGATGTTGGTCTGTGGGCAAAGTGCAGAGAGCACCCAGGTGTGCATCCAGGCCCTCCTCCTTCCCAGGATCCCCTGGGGGACTCAGGCTGACACATGTTCTTTCTCAGAAGCCTAGAATTCTAGAAACTAAGCTTTTCCAGATGCGGCAGCACATGGTCTTAGATGCTTTTCTGGCTCCTTAGGAGACTGATGGCTGCCCTGGGAGAGGTTATAGGTACTTGCATGCCAGGCACAGCCACGTGATATGGTCAGTGCTCTGTGTGAAGTGTCATTTAGTCCCATTAACCTCTACACAGCACACCTGTGAGGGGTCCACTTCCTGTGGAAATGGAGGCTCTGTCAAGTATTGTGTCACTTGTCCAAGTAGGTGACTTGGGTCTGTCTTGGAATGTGGTCACAGGTGTGTGGTGAGACCTGCATTCCAGCTCAGGCACCAGCTTCTGGGTCTGGGTGACTATGGTGGGGTAGCTTCCTTGGAAAAAAAAAAGGAGAGTTGGGATTTATGTTAAACCAAACAGAATAAATGTCAGTGCACCACCCAGCTGACAAAAAATTATGAGCATAGCTATAAGTCCCTAGGCACCATTGCTAAGCCTCCTCTCTCCTCTCAGAGATAGCTGTCCTGAAGGGGCTGTTTATCAGTTTATAGACATTGCTTGATGTGCAGCCTCTTAGGTGGGTGTCTCTGAGCCATGTAGCACCTTGTTTGTGGTGGCCTGACTTCTAAATTTCCTTATCCATCAAGTTGCCATGGTGCCATGTCTCCAGTGGGCCACAGAGCACAAAATGAGTGTAGAACATGCACTTACTATCCCAACTTCTCCATAGCAAGCCCCCCACAGGGGCTGGTCTCCGGCCCTATGGACACACTGTGGGGGCCTGTTCTGTCCATGGTAGGCTCCAGGCACACCCAGGGCCTTGGGCACAGAAGCAGCCAAGAGCCTTGAATCTCACTGTGCCATTCCTCTCGGACACCTCCCCATGGACAGGTGCGTGTGCCCACACCTGTGCTGTCCAGATTCCCCAGCCCAGTGCCAAGTGGTCTGCTGCTCACTGGCCTGAGTCAGAAGGCTGCCCTTGTCCTCTCTCTGCTTTTCCTGGTCTGCACTCCCCACCTGTTGACCCTATAACTATAGTCACAGCTGTAGTCTCAGCAGGGTCTTTTGACAGTGTTTATGGGGCATCTTCTGTGTGGCAGTGCAGCTAGGGATTGCAGCAAAGAGCAGAACAGATGTTTACAGCTTTCAGCCCATGAGGGAGGCACCATGCTTCCTGCATGTCCAAGTGTCAGGAAGAAATGTGTTACCATGTTTCAAGGATGAGGAAACTTAGAGGCCATGCTGCTGAAACCATGTACATTTTCCAGGGACATGTGCACATATGCTGAAAGCCTAGGTGAATGTATAGAAATGACCAACCAAAATTCAAGCTGATAGTTTTCTGGGAGGTGGGGGGTCAGGTCTGGGAAGGCAGGGGAGGCGCTGGGGCAGAAGCATGCTTGGCCCAGGTTAGAAGGCTTTGGGGAACGAGAAGATAACTGTGCAGAGGGGGGAATGTAGATGGGAGCCAGCTCTCGTGGGCAGGGGAAGGGTTTTCAGGGGGCAGGCTGCTGGGACTCTGAGCCAGGCAGCTGTGGAAAGGTGCTCTCAGGTAGCCAGGAAGACTGAGAAGAGCATATTGCAGGGACTGTGGGGTGGGTATAAAGGCAATGCGGAGGCCGGCAGAGGGCAGGGGGAGGTGGATATTACAGCTGTCCAGGCAAGAGGTGACAGTGGCTGGGGACCAGAGTGATGGCATCAGAGGTGTAGGAAGTTGACTCGCAGGGGTGTGGAGGCCAAGTTGATCAGTTATAGGAGGATGGGATATACACAAGGTGTTGGAAATGGGTCACAGAGCAATCAGAGGACTCCCCAGAGATGCCACTGACCAAGAAGTGGGGAGGGCAGGATTCAGTTACACATGAGGAGCCTGTGGTGTCTTTCGCAGAGTGTGGTGGGTGGAGAATTGAGGAAGGATCCCACAGAGGAAGGGGAAACCAAGGGGCTGCATTTTTAGGGGAAGAATCCTGGAAGGAGAGAGGAACACCTGTCTCTGAAACCCTTGAGAGGCCGGTTCACACAAAACCAGCCTTGAAGGAATCTACCAGGCTCGGCAACATGCAGGTGCTTGCTGAGCTCATTGGCATCCCTCCAACCCTAATGCTGGGTCCCCAGTCCCAGCTCCTGCTCTGTGAGGGGAGGTCTGGCCCCAACACTAGCTAGGAGACCCTTGGCCACAACTCCCTGTGTATTGGCCTTGTGGCCACTTGTAAGTAAACACGTGCGACCACCTTCCAAACCCACAGCAGTTGTAGGCTCACAGATTGGGCAGAACTCAGACTTACAGGATCTTGAAGACCATGGTGAAGATTTGGGCCTTTATCATAAAAGAAAGCAAAGTGCAGAGAGATACACAACCAGATTTGGATTGTGAAAGAATTTCTGCCAGTATTTTAGAGAATAGCAGGAGTAACCTGAATATCCACAGGGTTAAATTTATCCACAGTCACCTCTCCTATTGCTATTTTGCTCTACACACACACAAATCTACACATACCCTTTTAAAATATTTTCTGAATCATTGGAGATAATTGCAGACATTATGACTCTTTACTGCTAAATGTTTCAACATGTTGTTCTGTAAGAACAAGGACATTCTCCTGCATATCCACAGGATCATTATCACATATGGGAAATTTAGCATGAATATGCTGCTATTTTTAATTTGCACTCTACATCCAGATTTCACCAGTTGTTTTGGTATGTTCTTTCTAGATTGTTCACTCAACCTATATCTAATCAAGGATCAGGCCATGCATTTAGTTAATCATATCTCTTTAATATCCTTTTTTAAAAAGTTTACTTATTGAGAGAGAGAGAGAGAGAGCGCGCGAGCATGCATGCTCGAGCATGGGGCTTGATCCCATGAACTGTGAGATCATGACCTGAGCCGAAATCAAGAATTGGTTGCTCAACTGACTGAGCCACCCAGGTGCCCCATATCCTTTAATCTAAGAGTGTATCCATCTTTTTTTATTAATTTTTTTGTCAGTGGATGTTGACTTTTTTTTATCATGGTAAAATATACCTAATGTAAAATCAACCATTTTAATTGCTTTTAAGTATATAATTTGGTGGCATCATGTATACACAATGTGCAGTCATCACCACTGACTACTTCCAAAACTTTTTCATCATTCCAAACAGAAACTCTGTACCTATTAAACAATAATTATTGCTAGTATTTTATGAGGATTTTAGCATCAATATTGGTAAAGGATATTGGTCTCTAGTTTTCCTGTACTGTCTTTATCTGGCTTTGATATCATAGTAATGCTGGCCTTGTGGAATGAGTTAGGAAGTGTCCCCTCCTCCTCAAATTTTGGAAGAGTTTGAGAAGTATTAGCATTTTCTTCTTTAAATGTGTGGTAGAACTCACCAGGGAATCCTGGTAGCTCCTGGGCATTTCTTTGTTACAAGTCGTTTGATTAACTAACTCAATCTCCTAACTAGTCATAGGTCCAATTAGATTTTTTATTTCTTCATGAGTCAGTTTTGGCATATTGTGTGTTTCTAGGAATTTGGACATTGATGTTTTTGAAAAATCAATACCAGGTGTTTTGCAGAATTCCTCCATTTGGATGCCTGATTTTCCCCTTGGTTAGATTCCTTCTTATATCTCGTGCCTTCTTTATAGGATCTTTTTCTTTCTAATGTGTAGTCTTTAGAAGTTCCCTTAGTGAAACTCTGTTGGAGTAAATTCCCTCAGTTTCTGTTTATCTGAAAATGTCTCAAAATTTCCCTCTTTTTGAAAGATAGTGTTCCTAGGAACACAAATTCTAGATTTAAGGGCTGTTCTCTGCCCTTTGAACATATTCAGTATCTTCAAGATTCCACTGTTGACATTAAGTAGTCTACTCTGTTTAGTTATTGCTGTATATGTGTATTAATTTTCTATGGCTGCTGTAACAAATTACCACAAAGTTAGTGGCTTAAAACAACACAATTTATTATTTTATAGTTTTGGAGCTTAGAAGGAAATGGGTATGACTGGACCAAAATTAAGATGTTGGCAGGGTAGGGGCGCCTGGGTGGCGCAGTCGGTTAAGCGTCCGACTTCAGCCAGGTCACGATCTCGCGGTCCGTGAGTTCGAGCCCCGTGTCAGGCTCTGGGCTGATGGCTCAGAGCCTGGAGCCTGTTTCCGATTCTGTGTCTCCCTCTCTCTCTGCCCCTCCCCCGTTCATGCTCTGTCTCTCTCTGTCCCAAAAATAAATAAACGTTGAAAAAAAAAATTTAATAAAAAAAAAAAATGTTGGCAGGGTTGCCTTCCTGTAGTTATAGAAGATAATTGCTCTTCTTGCCTTTTCTAGCTTCTGTGGGCTGTTTGCATTCCTTGTTTTTGGCCCCCTTCCATCTCTAAAGACAGTGATGACTGGTCAGGTCTGCCTTACATCACATCATTCTGATACCCACTATCCTGCCCCTTCCCTCCACGTTTAAGGACCCTGTGATTACATTGGGCCCATCTGGAAGATTCAAGATTTATAGCTGTAGCTCATTCATATGGTTCATTGCTGTGGAGTGTTATGTGAATATACAACAATTTACTCATTCACTTGTTGATAGACAATTTGAGTAGTGTTTAGTTTAGGTTTTGGTCATCACAAATAGTACTGCTAAGAAAGTTCTTGTCCATGTCTTTTGGAACATTTATGTTGGAGTGTACCTAAGAATGGAATTGTCAGGTGATAGGGCATAGGTGTGGTTTTCTTTCTACCTACTGTATTTAGAAAAGCATTGTGCCCATTGAATTTGTGTCTTATGAAAAACTTCCAGCCATTATTTATTTATTCTTTTTTTTAATATGAAATGTATTGTCAAATTGGTTTCCATACAACACCAAGTACTCATCCCAACAGGTGCCCTCCTCAATACTCCTCACCCACCCCCACCCACCCCCCCGTCAACCCTCAGTTTATTATTCTTTAAGTAGACTTCACATCCAGCATGGAGCTCATTGTGGGGTTTGAACTTATCCTGAGATCAAGACCTGAGCTGAGATCAAGAGTCAGACACAACCAACTGAGGCATCTAGGCGCCCCTTCCAGCCATTATTTTTAAAACATGGATTTTCCTCTTGCTCTACAATTAGATGTATGATGTTAGAGCTTTTCACTTTCCCTCCATTTCTTCCCTTCCATATCTTCTTTTCTCACTTGTCTCATTCTGGGTGTTTTTTTTCCCCATTTCTGTGTTCCAGATCAGTAATTCTTCCTTCAGCTCTATCTAAATCTGCCGTTTAACCCATTCAATGAGGTTTTAGTTTGAGATTGCCTTTTTTTTTTTTCATTTCCAAAAATCCTATTTTGTCCTGTTTGGTCTGATCATTTTTGATAGGTTTTTGTTGCTTATTTATTTTTTTATTTCCATCTTTTATTTGCATAAACATTTTATAATATTTATCTCTAGTTTGTGTCTGGTAATTCCAATATCTGAGGTTCCTATGGGATCTAATTCTGTTATTTTGCTTCTGCTGCCTCTCAGAGGCAGCTTTTTTCCATGTATGTTGTGGTGATCTTTGTAAGCTAATGTTTACATGATGTTAATCACTGGGAATCTCAGGAGCCATAGTAGGGTGCTTTCTGCAGAAAGGGTAGGTATTGCATTTGCTGAGAATTGAAAGCCTCCCAATCCAGGGCCACTTTAACCTCCTTTTAGGGCACTGGCTTAATGCAGGAGTCCATGCTGCTGATGGCAGTGCTGACATAGGCATTGGCCTCAGGGTAACTCTATCTTTGTGTTGCTTAATACTCAAAGCTGGGGTTTCAGCTTCCAGGTTTTTATTTTGTTAGAGGGCCCTTGGAGGTTTCCATTACCATCTGTGAGGACAATCACCCATTATATGATCAGCCTCACACTTCTCTAATTGCTTGGTGTGGTGAGGTGGATAGGATAGGACACCATCAGCTTATCTGAGGTCCAGGAAGCTTTAAGTGGGAACTGCCCCCCTTCCGCCCGCCCCTCCCCCCCATCTGCACTGAATCAATTTTTTTCCCATTCTGGAGTCAGAATGGTACTTTCCAAACACAGACCTCATTTGTTTCACTCCCCTGCTTAAAACCTTTTACTGCTTTAAAAATTCCAATAATTAACCTTTCCTTATTTTTCCCTTTAGTTTCTCATGAGATAAAATGAAGTCATATTTATGTTTATTAAGAAGACATTTATGCTTGGTATTATAAGCATATTACATAAAATGAACATGACAAGATCACATGGCTTTGAGTATTTTTCGCTTAAAACAATTAGAAGCTAATGCCAGATAAGGACCAACGGGGGAAATAAATGTCAACCAGACCAGTATCTACTAAGAATAAATTTCTTTCTTTTTTTTTAAATGTTTATTTATGTTTTGAGAGAGAGAGAGAGAGAACAAGTGGGGTAGGAATAGAGAAAGAGGGAGACGCACAATCCGAAGCAGACTCCAGGCTCTGAGCTGTCAGCACAGAGCCCAGTTTGGGGTTAGGACCCACAAACTGCGAGATCATGACCTGAGTTAAAACCAGACGCTCAACCGACTGAGCCACCCAGGCGCCCCTGAAGAATAAATTTCTTGTCCAGCAAATATGGGTTTTAAGCTGTCTCTTTCATGATCTTTACTGGTAAATTGCTCATCTATCATACGTCACTAGTGTTACATTAGTGGAGACCTCTAAGTTATAAGAGAGCAAAAGTGGCTCCAGGCAGACATGGTTCATGTGGTAACTGTTCATGCTTGCTTCTTTCCATTGAGGCCTCTACCTTGTGTCAGGTATGATGCCCACTAATGTGGACATCTTTCCAGTTTCTCCTCCCTAGTGTTGACCTCAGAGTGTACAATGAGGGGAGCTCTCACTAAAAAGGAAAATGTGTTTTGGTCTTCTGATTCCTTATGTTCCTGAGCTCTATGTCAGAGTTCCTTGGTGGGAGATGAATATCCTTTGCCGTAACCTGAGGACACACAGCCAGCGTTGTGCATTCATACCAACTGTGAGCATACTCCTATTGCAGTTAGTGGTTGTAAGATGCAGTAACAGATTCCCTATAAACATAAACAGAACCAAGGTGCTGAATACATTAGTGAGTTGTTGATTGTGTGACTGTTTTAAAAGGTAAGAAAGCTTTATTTTCTGTAGCTTATTGCTTAGGAGATGCAAACCATAGCATGTTAGCTGTGCATAGAAAAAATAACAGTGTGCCCTGTGCCATCATCCAGGGATGATGCAAGATCACCATGACTTCCAGCTGCAAGACCAGACTCATGTGGACTGCGTGTGGCCAGCTCCTGGAGTCCCCAGCTTCTTTTTTTCAATTTTTCATGCAGAATCGAGTTGGATAGGCTTTCTGAAGAAAATACATTGTTGAAAAATGAGCTGGGAAGGATTCAGCAAGAGCTTGAAGCTGCAGAAAAGACAAATGATGCACAGAGGTAAGGGCCCTGGCTCAGTCATTATAACTGGACTCCAGTCTGCAACATGCTTTGCTTTTTGTGCAATGGGCTTAGAAGGTACTGCTGTGGAAAGTGGGAAGTGTTAACACACCAACGCTGAGTTCCAGAAAACCACAAAGGCGAGCCATGCTGACCTCTGACCAGCCCTGATAGGCGTGGGAGGGCTCAGATCCCTTTCCAGATGTTGGCAGCCACGTTCATTCCTGGGCTTCTAAGTATGAGGTAGAACATGTGCACACTGCGGCACAGTCAGCACCGCGGTGGACAGCTCCAGCTTGGGCCACTTCTCTCTGAAGTCTGTATAAGCACTTTCCATCCCATGGAGCTGCTCCATATCACGCCTCAGGGTGGGGGTGGGGGACAGTGAGTATTTCTTTAGCAATAAGAGATGCTTCTGGGGCCATTTTGGAATCTGTTTTTTCATGTTTTGATAATGATTTTAGTTGGGCTTCTCCATGGTTTTTGGATTTCAGTGGGTTAGAATAAGGGGTAGAGGTGGGGAAGGGGAGCAGAAACTGAGGCAGGAGAGACTGTGTTTGTGGAGGGGAGAAAGCACAGAGTACCCATCTGTGGCTTTCTGCTTTCACTACTGTAGTCTTATCCAAGGACAGTTTGTTTGACTTTTTTTTTTTTCATCTCTGAAGTTCAACATGATTAAAATATGGCATCCCCAGAGCAGATGGTCAACAACTGGTTGGTATTATGTTACAGCATTTCAGAAATCTAAAAGTTTTTTTTTTTTTTTCAACGTTTATTTATTTATTTTTTTTTTGGGACAGAGAGAGACAGAGCATGAACGGGGGAGGGGCAGAGAGAGAGGGAGACACAGCATTGGAAACAGGCTCCAGGCTCTGAGCCATCAGCCCAGAGCCTGACGCGGGGCTTGAACTCACGGACTGCGAGATCGTGACCTGGCTGAAGTCGGACGCTTAACCGACTGCGCCACCCAGGCGCCCCTAAAAGTTTTTTTCCCCTCTAGAAACTGTTGTTTCTCTAATCTGCTGCCAGGGCCTATTTCCCAACAGACCCCAGCAGATATAAGGCTGTTTTGTTTTGGTCCTATTTATGCTGCTTAGTGTGACTCGTCACATGTTTTCTAAAGAGATATTACTATGTGTGGCTGAAGAATGTCATGGAGGGTGTTTGTTCTTACGGTATTGGCAGTGTTCCTCTGGTTCCGAGGGTTGGGGTCCCGACTGGATGGGCAGCGGCAGTAGTGTAGAACAGTGACAGAGCAGGTGTGAGTGTCTGTTTTGTGGCTGCGAACCCAATGATGGGAAAAAGAAACTGGCTGGTCAGTGACATTGTTAATTTTGCTTCTCCAATAGGAAGGAAATCGAGATTTTAAAGAGAGACAAGGAAAAGGCCTGCTCTGAAATGGAGGAACTCAACAAACAGGTCAGGTATTGACTCCTGCATGACGCTTAACACCACTCTCCTTTTTTCATTATTTTGAGATCATTTCAAACTTACAGAAAGGAAAGACAGAACTTTTTTCTGAAAGATCTGAGAGTGATTTGCCAAGCCATCCGTCCCTTCCCTGACTCAAAGGATATGAACGTGGATGCAAAAGTGCTGTCTGAGCCTCCACCCCATTGAGCTTTGCCAGCTGTCCTCTCACCTTCAGAGGTGAGAGGTGGCTCCTTCAGTTGGTTCTTGGTTTTTAGGACCAGGGTGCTTTTGAAGATTATAAACAGTTATTTTGTAGGAAGTAACTCTGTTTGGTTTGTCTGATGTTTTCTTGTGATTAGATTAGGTCTCTTTGTCCCATAATTTGTCCCATTACTAGTGATGTTGGCTTTGATTCCTGGTTAGGTGGTGTTGGCCAGGCTTCTCCACAGTAAGGTTACTTTTCCCTTTGTTATGGTGAGTATTGTATGGTAGATACTTTAATATTATGTAAATACCCCATTCCCCATCGAATTCTTACCCTTTATTTTAGCATCCTTTATTTCTTGCTGTGATGATGGCCAGTTGGTAACTAATTCCACCATTCCTTTTATGTTTATTGGTATTTCAAATGTGTGAGGAAGAGCTTTCTTTTCACTTATTTATTCATTACATTATCCTATTACTATCCTAGGTTCCTGCTTTTTCTCAATGGGTTATAATACATTACTATCAGTATTTATTTTCGTGCTCAAATTGTCTCAGATTTGGCCAATGAGAGCCCCTTCTCAGTGGTTTCTGGTCCTCCAGATGAACCCTGATCATTTTTTGAGCACTTCTTTACTTTCTGGTACCCCCAGATATTCCAAGTTCATCTAATACTTCCCCTGCCTGAGCCCTATAATCAGCTACTCCCCCAAGGAGCTTCTGGTGACTGTTAGTGTAGAATAGTGTTTGGAGACCAAGACCTGGGCACCAGGAGTGCCCACTGCTCCTGGGGTGTCACTACTTCCAGGCATAGTTAGTGGATAGTTATGGAGTGTGTATGTACTTAGAGTTTCATCAATGAATGTGCATGTAGTTTCATGAATATTTATTTATATCTGTCTCTCTATTGAAAATCATGAATTCAAACCCATATATGCAGTTCCCACCTAACATCTTAGGGATAATCCTAGTTTCTCCCTTTCTATATTTGTAACTCATATCTCCAACAGTGAGAATCCTGGTTTCTATCCTCAGAAGATGTACTTACTGTTGATTAGTCTCCTTTATCCCATGCATAAATGCCCTTCCCGTTTTGTTTCAGCACTGACCCCACACTAGTCCTCTCTCTGCCCTCTTACACGGATGCTTTCATATTTGGTCTCCTTTAGTGGTTTTTGGGTAGATTATTAAGGAGGAAGCACACAAGCTGGGATGTGTCATTCTTGTTTTTCTTTATTCTTTTTTAAATTGGTATTGTTATTAATGATTATAGACTCATGTAGTTATAAGAAATATAGAGAAATCCTTTAAACACTTTGACCAGTTTCCCCCAACGGTAACATTTATTTAAATTTCACTTAGTTAACATACAGTGTAATATTAGTTTCAGGTGTACAATATAGTGATTCATCACTTACATACAACACCTAGTGCTCATCATGATAAGGGCACTCATTAGTCCCCATCACTTATTTCACCCATCCCCCCACCCACCTCCATTCTGGTAACCATCAGTTCTCTATAGTTAAGAGTCTGTTTCTTAGTTTGCTTCTCTCTTTTTTTCTCTATGCTCCTTTGTTTTGTTACTTAAAATTTTTTTAAACATTTTACTTATTTTTGAGAGAGAGTGCGAGCAGGGAAGGGTCAGAGAGAGAGGGAGATACAGAATCCAAAGCAGGCTCCAGGCTATGGGCTGGAGCCCAACACGGGGCTTGAACCCACAAACTGTGAAATCATGACCTGAGCCAAAGTCGGACAATTAACCAACTGAGCCACCCAGGTGCCCCTCCTTTGGTTTGTTTCTTAAATTCCACATACGAGTGAAACTATATGGTATTTGTCTTTCTGTGATTTATTTCACTTAGCATTATACTCTCTAGCTCCATTGTGTCATTGCAAATGGAAAGATTTTATTCTTTTTTATGGCTGAATAATATTCCAGTGTGTGTGTGTGTGTGTGTGTGTGTGTGTGTGCGCGTGTGTGTGCGTGCGCATGTGTGCGTGTGTGTGTGTGTGTATACTTACAAACATACACTCCACATCTTTTTTATCCACTCATCAGTCAGTGGACACTTGAGCTATTTCCATAATGTGGCTATTGTAGATAATGCTCCCATAAACATTGGAGTGTATATATGCCATTGAAATAGTATTTTTAGTATATATACTGTTGAATTAGTATTCTGTGGATAAATACCTAGTAGCATGGCTGCTGGATTACAGGGGAGTTCTATTTCTAAGTTTTTGAGGAACCTCCATGCTGTTTTCCAGAGTGGCTGCACCAGTTTGCATTCCCACCAACAGTACAAGAGTGTTCCCCTTTCTCCACATCCTCGCCAGTGCCTGTTGTTTCTTGTATTGTTGATTTTAGCCATTCTGACAGGTGTGAGGTGATATATCATTGTAGCTTTGATTTGTATTTCTCTGGTAATGAGTGATGTTAATCATCTTTTCCTGTGTCTGTTGACCATCTGAATGTCTTCTTTGGAAAAATGTCTATTCATGTGTTCTTCCCATTTTTAAATTGGATTGTTTTTTGGCTGTTGAGTTTGATAAGTTCTTTATATATTTTGGATACTAACCTTTTATCAGATATGTCATTTGCAAATATCTTCTCCCATTCCATAGGCTGCCTTTTAGTTTTGTTGATTGTTTCCTTCATTCTATAGAAGCTTTTTATTTTGATGAAGTCCCGATAGTTTATTTTTGCTTTTGTGTCCCTTGCCTCAGGAGGCATATGTAGAAAGAAGTTGCTATGGCTGATCTCAGAGACATTACTGCCTATGCTCTCTTCTAGGATCTTTCTGGTTTCAGGTCTCACATTTAGGTCTTTAATCCATTTTAAGTATAATTTGGTGCATGGTGAAAGAAAGTAGTCCAATTTCATTCTTCTGCATGTCTCTGTCCAGTTTTCCTAGCACCATTTGTTGAAGAGACTGTCTCTTTCCCAATGGATATTCTTTCCTGCGTTGTCAAAGATTAAATGACCATACAGTTGTGGGTTCATTTCTGGGTTTTCTATTATATTCTATTGATGATTGTGTCTATTTTTGTGACAGTTCCATACTGTTTTGATTACTACAGCTTTGTAATATAGCTTGAAGTCCAGAATTGTGATGTCTCCAGCTTTGCTTTTCTTTTTCAGGATTGCTTTGGCTATCTGGTGCCTTTTGTGGTTCCATACAAATTGTAGGGTTTCTTGTTCTAGTTCTGTGAAAAATACTGTTGGTATTTGGAAAGGGATTCTATTAAATGTGTAGATTGCTTTTGGTAGTATAGATATATACTATATATACTATAAATATATATAGATATATCTGGTAGCATAGATATATATTTTAGCAGTATTTGTCCTTACCCATGCACATGGAAGTCTTTCCACGTTTTTGTGTCATTTTCAGTTTCTTTCATCAGTGTTTTATAGTCTTTCAGCTCTTTGGTTAGGTTTATTCCTAGGTATCTTATTGTCTTTGTGTAATAATAAATGGGACTGATTCCTTAATTTCTCTTTCTGCTCCTTCATTATGTCTAAAATACAGCAGATTTCTGTGCATTGATTTTGCATCCTGCAACTTTACTGAATTCTTTTATCAGTTCTAGCAGTTTTTTTGTGGAGTCTTTTGGGTTTTCTCTATATAGTATTGTATCATCTGCAGATGGTGAAAGTTTCACCTCTTCCTTGCCAGTTTGGACGCTTTTTATTTCTTTTTGTTGTCTGATTTTTATGGCTAGGACTTCTAGTACCATCTTGAATAAAAGTGGTGAGAGTGGACATTCCTGTCTTGTTCCTGATCAGAGAGGAAAAGTTCTCAGTTTTCAAATGCCATTGAGGATGATTCTAGCTCTGGATTTTGCATATATGACCTTTATCATGTTGAGGTATGTTTCCTCTAAACCTACTGTGTTGAGAGTTTTTATCATGAATGGGTGTTGTACTTTATCAAATGCTTTTTCCTCATCTATTGAAATGATCATATGGTTTTTACCTTTTCTTTTATTAATGCAATGTGCCACATTGATTGATTTGCAAATATTGAACCAGGCCTGCAACCCAGGAATAAATCCCACTTGATCATGGTGAATTATTCTTTTAATGTATTGTTGGATTTGTTTTGCTAGTATTTTATTGAGAATTTTTACAATCATGTTCATCAGAGAAACAGGCCTGTAGTTCTCTTTTTTAGTGGAGTCTTTGGTTTTGGTATCAGGGTAATGATAGAATGAATTTGGCAGTTTTCCTCCCTTTTCTAGTTTTTTGAATAGTTTGATAAGAATAGGTATTAACTGTTCTTTAAATGTTTGGTAGAATTGGGGCACCTGGGTGGCCAGTGGGTTAAGTGTCTGACTCTTGGTTTAGGCTCAGGTCATGACGTTGCAGTTCCTGAGTTCAAGCTCCATATCAGGCTCTGCACTGACAGCAGAACCTGTTTGGGATTCTCTCTGTCGCCCTCTCTCTCTGCCTCTCCCCTGCTCATGTGCTCACTTTCTCTCTCTCTCTCTCCCTCTCTCTCTCCCTCTCCCTCTTCTTTTCCCTCTCCCTCTCCCTCTCTCTCAAAATAAAGAAATAAATTAAAAAAAAAATTTGGTAGAATTTGCCTGTGAAGCCATCTGATCCTAGAGTTTTGTTGGGATATTTTTGATTACTGATTCAATTTCCTTGCTGGTTATCGGTCTGTTTAATTTTTTTCTTTTTTCAGTTTTAGTAGGCTATATGTTTCTAGGAATTTATCCATTTCTTCCAGGTTGTCCAGTTTGTTGGCATATAATTTTTCATAGTTTGTATTTCTGTGGTGTTGGTTATT